AATGTCTATTTCCACCTTGTATAAATTCTTATGACATATTCCAACCCTCACTCTAGCTCACTAAATGCAGTGATTCACATCCATGTAATATTTGGGCGTTCCGAAATCCATTAAGAAAAAAAATGTCGCAACCTAAATGACCACAACTGTACATTACACATACAATTATAAAAATATCAACGCATATTTTGATTTTTCTTATTTATATATATTTATACATATTATTTACGTATTAGAATATTAACGAAAATAGTGTAAATTGTTATTCTCGAAAATTAGTAAGAAACGACGCATCTATGAAGTAAAACACAAAAAATTACCGGTTATCGAAACAAATGTAATTTTCGATAAGTTTACCTTCCCGATAGAAATGGAGATAGCTTATTTTGTTATTTTGATTATTTGACTATATCAGTAATTATATCAAATAACTTTTTATATTGATATAATTATGTAGACATAGAGAATGTCACAGTACATCATTCAAAAAAATAAAAGAAAAAAATTGCGATTACGGCAGCTGTTGGTGTAATTATAGTTTGGGCAACAGAAATATCAGAGAAAAAAACATTATAAAAAATTTGTAGTATTACTTCGAGTTACATTTTGTTATTATATCACAATTAGTTTATAACACATGGCTTGCACACGGCTTTTTTGGTTTTGCTATTCGTTCGATTTTGCTGTTTGTTCGGTTAAACTTCAATAACATGCGGCTAAATGTATTTTGCGTCGGAAGTGCGTCATCTAAGTAAAATTTTTAACCAATAGTAACGAATTACTACGATTGCACACTTCGCATGAAATGGCACCTTAAGGGTACGTTCCCACTGAGCGCGTCACGCGTCGCATCATCCGAATTGACCAATCAAAACATTCCATTTTATTGCGTAATTTGTCGCGTGTCGTTGTTACACCTGTCCAGTGTCCCGTCTACCTCGGATTCTCAGCTTTTACCGAGGCGGTTGAGTCAGTTGGGTGGGACATCTCAAGACAGGCAACAGGCTGTATACTATAGTCTATATAGCTCCTTGTGGAAGCGGAAACCATATTAGAAGAAGAAGAAGAAGAAGAAAAAGAACTTATAATATCGGTGCAGTTCTTATTATCTAGGACTCTAGTTTTATATATGTATATACATATATCCCAAGTGCTTTTTTAAGAAAGATATCTTTAAAAAAACGAAAAAGAAAAACAGAGTCGCACGATGGATTATAGTTTAATTCTGCGTCCTGATCTTCAAGATCTTTTGAATAAGTATACTGAAATGCGCGATGTAAGTAAAATATTAAAAATGATTAAAATAAATAAAAAGATAATATAAAAGTATGTAATGCAATACGTATGTATATACTATGTATACATGCACATGCATATGTGTATGTACACATAAGAAAAGAACATGTTTATTCAAAGCAGAATTATTATAATTGGTACAATAAAATACGTTTTCATAGCTCGCCAGTTTTCATAGTGCGCGCGCGCGCACGCTTGGTGTGTGTGTGTGTGTGTGTGTGTGTGTGTGTGTGTGT